TCTCTCATGGTCTATTCTGGAGTGAACGGCAATGAAGCTTGTGGGAATTGCGACAGCCTTTCGTTATTATCTTTATTGCCCGGAGTCCATGGACATCACAACATGCATCAACGCGAGTCTTAATTTTATTGTAAAACGGGCAAGATAATTGTACTTCCCCGAAAAGCCATCAACTGCTTAATAAAGCACTAGTTTTTCTGTATCCATGTATTCTACTTCTAGCATTGGGAAGGGATGAAGTGATGTTTCTCTAGAGCGACACCAAGTTAAATAACTAAGTTTTCTTACCGTGGTTACGCAGTAAGGTCAGTAAAGCCTTTATATGTAAGATATCATCATCATCATCAGTCTATAGTAGTCCACGGTTGGACATAGGCCTATTCAAATGCACGCCACTGACCACGGTCCAAGGCTTCTCTCATCCAGCTTTTTCCAGCTACCCTGCATAGGTCATCACTCTACTCGTCGTGGCCTAAGTCGTGGCCAAGTCGTTGTGGCCTAAAGACGTCCGGTGCATTTGTATCTTGCGACGCACCGGTGTTCGAATCCCGCAGACGGGTACCAATTTTTCTAATGAAATACGTACTTAACAAATGTTCACGATTGACTTCCACGGTGAAGGAATAAATCAAACCCTCAAAATTATAATTTTCGTAATTACTGGTGGTAGGACCTCTTCTGAGTCCGCACGGGTAGGTACCACCACACCGCCTATTTCTGCCGTGAAGCAGTAATGCGTTACGTTTTGAAGGGTAGGGCAGCCGTTGTAACTATACTTGTGACCTTAGAACTTATATCTCAAGGTGAGTGGCGCATTTACGTTGTAAAAGTCTATGGGCTCCATTAACCATTTAACACCAGATGGACTGTGAGCTAGCCCACTCATCTAACAAATAAAATAAATAAATAAAGCTCTACAAGACATACCGTAACATAAATAGAGCAATTTGACACCATATTAAAAATATAGTTTTACTGGTGGTAAGCCGTTTTGTGATACCGTTATGTACCACCATCCTGCCTATTTCTGTCGTGAAGCAGTAATGCGTTTCGGTTTTAAGGGTGGGGCAGCCGTTGTACTGTAAAAACTGAAACCTTAGAACTCATGATTTACCTTGTTGATAACTTTGGGCTCCGCTAACTTAACTCCAGATTGGCAGAGATCTTCCACAGATTTAAGCAAGAAGAGAAATAAGACCACGCTATATTTATAAACATTAACAAAAGCAAAACATTAACTGTCCCCTTCACACTCACAAGCTTGACCGCGCGAGAGAGAGATGGACAGAATTTTCATGATGCGTATGCAGTGCAACGTCATACCGCGCGCTTATTCATAAACACTACACCAGCGTAACGTGTGAATGTGTTGAACGCGAGTTACATAGTAGGCGTAGTAGGGGTGTCAGGTTATTTTCGTTACGGAATTTCTGGATTCCGCTTTCAAGCCGCGCGCTCAAGGCTCGCGATAAAATCTATGCAATAGCTTAAAAACAGTCGATTTTAAATTATAACCTCTACACACAAAACTCCGAGTAAATGTCAACTTACATTGTCATTGATGGATGAAGTCAGTTGTAGTGGATATTCACTGATTGCTTTACACCAGCCAAGGATATTGTAATTCACTCGAATATCTAATATAAGTTTAAGTGTATGTATGTACGTAAATTGTCTTGAATCAATCTACTCTTATAATAAAATTATATATAAACTTTTGTTCGTCAGTGCACGGTTATCGAAAAAAATATGGTTTTTTTTTTAAATATACAGCTAGAAGATTTTACCTCTGATGTTTTGAGAATCGATATCTTGGGCTATGTCACTACTTATAACGGTGGGGTGCGTGGGCGGTGGGGTGCGTGGGATAGGAATACGCTCAAATGACGTAATCATGTTAAACTCAAAGCGGTGGTGTTTTTTTTAAACGGAAAACCGCGTTTTCGGGTTGTGGGATGTCGAAGAGAAATGTTCGGTTCATTTCCTTTCCGCATCCAACGACTTTCCGCCGTGCGCACTAAGTCGTTAGTCCACCTGGTTGGAGGACGCCCCACGCTCCTGGTACCCATCCGTGGCCTCCATTCGAGGACTTTCCTCCCCCACCTGGATGCGGAAAGCGGAGGACCGCATTCTGTGGGAGGCATTGGGGAAGGCTTATGTCCAGCAGTGGACAGATAAAGGCTGATGATGAGGATGATTTCCTTTCATTTATAGTCCTACGGTTGTTTTTCTACCGAAGCGATCTCAGTCGAGAGAGAACTCTGAATAGGTACAGAGCATGGTCTCTTTGACCCTTAGAGCGCGAACCGTCGATGAACCGACTCTCTATTAACTCGTATAAAGTACGGAGCGTCGGAATAATGACCATTTGCCCAGTTTCATTATAGGTATTATTAAAAACATTTAAATGTACCATTTAAAATTATCTTTGTTTTTTTTTAATAAACTTTTTTATAAGGTAGTCTAGTTTTGAGAAAAAAATCCTTTAGTAATTTCTCCAAATATTTGAAAATAAGCTCAACACTAAAAACTTTGAAGTAGTTAAATGAACACGGGCGGTAAGTCTTACTATTTTGTATGTGACGTAATCGATCTTTGAACGTAATTTTCATCGTCTTCAAAGACGCTCGATTAATTTGAAAATTCGCACACGCATCAAGAACCGATGATGATTTCATAACTTCGCTCTAATATCTTGAACTGTATGTATTAACAGTATAAAAATAATAGTTTAAAAAAACTAACAAAATACGTTTTTATAGAAAATCCAACTAAAAAATGGAAAATAAATTTTAATAAATTTGAATTAAAAATAGTGTAAGAAAAAATATTTCATTGTAAAAAAGCTTTTAATAATATTAAAAGCAAATGCGATTAGTAGTTGCTTCCGTTTGATACATGAGCTATATTTAATTATTTCATTTACTTCAGATCTTGCATCCACATTAAATATTATACATTAATTAACATAAACATTTCACATAGAACACAAAAATAAAATAAAAACAATAACAAAAATACCAGAATAAAAAAAAATTATGTCAAAACTATTTTAACCTTCAGGTTGGGCAGCCTTTAGGCTGGTTTGGATCCAGAGTGCTCAACATGCACACGTGTCCAGTGTTGCATTATTGGACAGTCCAGATCCTTCCACGAGGCTAACAGCCGCGACTGACTACATGTATACTATATGCTATATACTATATACTATACACTCTATACTATATACTATACACTCTATACTATACTATATACTATGCTATATGTTTTTTTTAAGTTTCTGGACTAGTTATTTCTGTTCGAGTTTTTTTTTTTTTTTTTTTTTTTTTTGCTTAGATGGGTGGACGAGCTCACAGCCCACCTGGTGTTAAGTGGTTACTGGAGCCCATAGACATCTACAACGTAAATGCGCCACCCACCTTGAGATATAAGTTCTAAGGTCTCAGTATAGTGACAACGGCTACCCCACCCTTCGAACCGAAACGCATTACTGCTTCACGGCGGAAATAGGCGGGGTGGTGGTACCTACCCGTGCGGACTCCCAAGAGGTCCTACCACCAGTGATTACGCAAATTATAATTTTGCGGGTTTGATTTTTATTACACGATGTTATTCCTTCACCGTGGAAGTCAATCGTGAACATTTGTTGAGTACGTATTTCATTAGAAAAATTGGTACCCGCCTGCGGGATTCGAACACCGGTGCATCGCTACACACGAATGCACCGGACGTCTTATCCTTTAGGCCACGACGAGTCTTCGAAATCAATTCGATCTGTACGTCGTGATATCAATGCATTCAGATTTTCTGACAGAACGAAATGTGGCAATTGAGCTGTTAAAAATCAACGAAGTCAGAAACAAAGGCTTGTTTACTAAATACGTTATTATTACTGAGAAAATAAAGCAATCTATCTATTCACGAAATAATGTTCTAAGAGCTGACGATTTTCCGCCTCGCGTTTACGTATTCACTTACATAGATAATATATACTGTTATCATATTTTTGAATTGCCTAAAATGCCTTCCTGAAATTCGTCGCCAGCTCTCCGACTATAAGGAGAGTCGGTTAATGTCGATCAAATGTGTTTTTGATGTTTTGTGACACAGTGATATACAGCCACACACAGACGCTGAAACGTTGTCTGACAAGTTGTGATTATTTCTTACAGATATAGCCCGCTAAGTTTCTCGCCGGATCTTCTCAGTGGGACGCGATTCCGATCCGGTATTAGCATCTTGGAAGCACTGTTCTTGTTAGGGCTAGTGTTAGCAAATTCTCTCAGTTTGAACTACTGACCTCATCTACACGTCCGGAATAGCCCCCTAGGCTACCAGCGAATAGTAGGGAACGAAAATATGTGATTATTTTCTCCCAACTTAATGTTTATAGTCGGTAATGACTTCATATTAACTGCGTGCTTTGCTTATTAGCGACTAGCGGTCCGCTCCGGCTCCGCTCGGGTCTTTAACAAAAATTTCAACGACGATGTTTTATTTTTTTTAAATATAAGAACACTTATTGCGGCATAACTATAATAGTTAGACATATACTGTCGCGACTCATAATAGTTTGACATACGCTGTCGTCGTGAGTTTTTCATATCGGTTCAATAGTTTCGGAGCCTATTCAATACAAACAAACAAACAAATCTTTCCTCTTTATAATATTAGTATAGAAGTATAGTATAACATTTAACCCCAGGTTCCGAGGCGAAAATCTTGGCTGCTACAGAATATAAATAGATAGGATAGGATCGGTACATGAAGGATAATCTGTTTAATATTTTTGTAATATTGCGCATCGTCAGGAATCGTGTGTCAGAAACAAAATAAAACTGTAATCTTATCATTATACTGTTATATTTCTATAATAAAGTATCTATCAGTCAATTGACTCTTACTCCACTCAAGCAGTTTTCTATCAATTCAACAAATTATCATAGTATCATTATTTCCGTTTTGTAAAGAGACAATAATTTGTCTTCGTATTTACAACCATGACAATGGATTTAAATGTAATTACAGCCACTAAATGTGATGAGTTCACGCGTATTTATTACAAAGAACTGTTTTGTAAGTATTACATATGTAACCTACATACTTAGATGTATTGATAGTTATTTAACTTTATCGACAAAAATTGGGTAGGTATCTCAAATTTGGAAGCGTTACGATTTGTATTTTCAAGGATATGTATGGTCAATTTGTTTTTTTTTCTACTTATTCTAGTAACTAGTCAAGGGGCTATTCTAGATTCACCGAGCTAGTATTGGGGCTCAAGCCGGGAGTGTTGCTAACACTGGCCCTAGTAAGAGTAGTGCTTTGCAGAATCTACCACCGGATCGGAAACGCGACCCGCTGTGAAGATCCGGCGAGAAACTCAGTGGGCTGTGTCTATGGGTTAATTTACTCGTCGAGCCCTTCGTCGCAGGCGACGGGCTTGGCGAGGATGGTGACCGGTGCTTGAGGTACCTAAAAGCACCGTTAAGGGATCGGGAGGATCCGTAATGACGTGTGAGTTTGGTGAGATGGTATCACGGATATACGACCTTATGCCTGTGACGCTGCGAATTATTAGGTAGATAACAGAATTGCGATTTTACGATTAGGCATTACCAAGGGGGATCCATATCTTCTACTGACCTGCACTTGCAGATAGCCACCTGCGAACATATGATGTCCTAATTAAATTCTAACCAACAACAGCAAACACCAAAATGAGCTTAATTCGCTTCTGATTTAAGTTTACTTTCGCTTCAAACAGCAGCCGAACATCCGATCTGACGCTTCTGGTTTTTTTATATTATCATTGTGTTTTTATCATTTACGTGGGGTAATAAATATTTTGCATGAGGATCACGGTGTATTGTTATAGTGACGTAATGATTTTCATATTACGCATTATAATGTTTTTTAAGCTATTGCATAGCTTCTGTCGCGGGTCTTGAGCGTGGAGACCGAATCCAGAAATTCCGTAACGAAAATAACCTGACACCCCCACTACGCCTACTATGTATCTCGCGTTCAACACATTCACACGTTGCGCTGGTGTAGTGTTTGTGAATAAGCGCGCGGCATGACGTTGCACTGCATGAGCATCATGAAAATTCTGTCCATCTCTCTCTCGCGCGGTCTAGCTTAAGAGTCTGAAGGGGACAGTTAATGTTTTGCTTTTGTTAATGTTTATAAAAATATCGTGGTCTTATTTTATTATTGTTTTAATATTAAATTATTATTATCTAATTATAATTGCATAAGTCGATAAAAATGCTATGTAATAGCTTTACCGCGGCAGTCCCCGAGTGCCACACGTGTTTTTTTTATGTTTTTTTTTTGTTTGAGCTGTAAAGAAAAAAATTATGTACAATTAATTCAATTTTTATATTGAGTTACAACGTAATTTTAGACGTTTCGTATGCGATAAAATGAAGATTCAACTTTGAATGTGAGTTTTTCATTTTTAATTCTTACCGTTTCTGGTTTCCTGGTACTATTGTATACTATGTATATGGTATGAAAGTGTTATTCCGAAGCCCTGCCTGATCCAAGATATTCCCGTCATCATTATCACCACCCGCCATCGGAGCTGAGTCATCGTTACCACCTGGAACCATTTCATCTATCTACAGTGCGTCTTTTTGACCACGTACCGTCAGATTCTGTTGTAAGCTTCTTACTGCGTTTCTTAGTAATATACGGTTCTATAAGTAATTTTCCATCAAACTAGATTTAAAAAGAATTCTTCCGTGTTGGCGGAAGCTTGGTTTTGCCTCTGTCATTGCCAACGTCCATGAGCCACGAAACAGAACCAGGTTTATCTGCATGCTTATCTCACTAATGATTCTTCGGTACAGGTCTGGAAGCGACGAAGATTGACCAGCTGCCTAGGGAGATGCCTCCTTCGCCAGATCTGAGAGCTGATGAACCAAAGACACCCTGTTTGGTGGGAGGAGCTCATGCGTTCATATTAAAGGTTTGTTAAGCGCTCCAAGTACCGAGGTGGTAGATCTAAGAGTTAGATTGGTTATTCACTGTGATCCAGTCTAGAGAGAGAACATTCTAGATTTAATTATGTCGAAAAAGGATCAGATCGTTGAAATAAAATAAAAATGGAATCCAGAATTGCATTGTTAGACTATTTTATTTATTGCTTAGATTGGGTGGACGAGTTCACAGCCCACCTGGTGTTAAGTGGTTACTGGAGCCCATAGACATCTACGACGTAAACCCACCTTGAGATATAAGTTCTAAGGTCTCAAGTATAGTTACAACGGCTGCCCCACCTTTCAAACCAAAACGCCTTGCTGCTTCACGGCAGAAATAATAGGGTGAAATAATAGATTCAGAATTAATTCAGAAATAATAGAATAGTAGGGTGGTGAAACCTAGCCGTTCGGACTCACAAGAAGCCCTACCACCAGTAAAAATCTCTGCTAATACTGAATTCTGGTATTAAAACTTTCAGATTTCAAGTTTCTGCGGTCTCGCACCTCTGAGGTTTGAGTCACGGAGTCAGGAATACGCGGTGACCATTTCCAAGGGCAAATGTTTTTACAGTTACATTCTCGTCACCTTTCTGGGTAATACAATTACTAATTATTTTATTTTCTTTGTTGTTTCGTTCTAGGCTGCCCACAGGTTGTTATTACTGTGTGCTTATGTGTGTTTTGTATTCGGGTTCACCATTTAATTTGATTTTTGTTTTGTTTTTTTCTTAATTTTTTTTATACTAGTTTATACCATATTCTAAGTCTGTACACACGTACCTAGCCTTCATTCCCGCAAAGAACCAAAGGGAAACGGGGGTGACTGAAAATCAGCGCTGTTCGATTTATCTACTCAGCACAGCATTAGCTGAGCCACCTCCTTTTGCCTTTTTCTCTTTTTTTTTCTCTTCTTTTATTTGTATTTTATTTTATTTAATGTGAAAGGCAATAAATGATTTTATTATTGTTATTATTATTAAATGCTAGAACAAATCTTTATCGAGCTTATTTTAGAGTGGTACTATCGTTAATCGCGGACGTTTTATCTATAAATCTCATTTAAACTTCATTGTTGTACCATTTGATTCTATTGATATGATCTTAATCACAAAATGAACAAGATGTATTTAGATTTACTGCAAACATACTGTAGGTAATGAATGAAAGATTAACCGAACATAATTTGCTTAATTGTACTCTAATTGGAGCATTGGAGATATTTTTCTCGTCGAACGACGGGTAAACTAACCCATAGATAATAGCCCACATACTTCTCAGTGGGTCGTATTTCCGATCCGGTGGTGGATTCTGCGAACCACTTCTCTTGCTAGGGCCAGTGTTAGCAACGCCTCCGGTTTGAGCTCACCTACATGTTAGAGTAACGCTGATATAGCCTCTCAAGGCTATCAGTATAGGTAGGGAAAAAAGGAGATATCTATCTATCTATACTTAAGTATATATAAAAATGAATTGCTGTTCGTTAGTCTCGCTAAAACTCGAGAACGGCCCAACCGATTTGACTAATTTTGGTCTTGAATTATTTGTCGAAGTCCAGAGAAGGTTTAAAAGGTAGATAAATATGAAAATTCTCGGAGTTAAATAAAGTTTAGGTCTTTTATTTATCGATTGAGGCACTACGAAATCTGCCGGGTCCAGCTACTTTAGTGATAAGAATCACTTTTGCCTTAAAATCTAATTTAATTTACATTTTAAATTCACGTCACGGACAGATCCAATCCATAATCAGATATGTAATACGACTTCTGACTTTACTAAGATCGAAGAATCTCTTATGGAGAAATGAGAATGCCGAGAAAGCTCATGCTTTTTCAAAAAGCCTGAAATACAGTACTGTGGTTCGAACTAAAAATATCTCGTAAAAATACGAGATTAACAATTTGTATTCCTCCGAAATCTGCGACTGGACCAATTTTAATATTCACTTCATAATTTTGTTACGAAATTCTAGGGAATGGCTTTTTTGGCTGTGTTTCGCTTTTGTTTCACTCCTAAAATGTCTTTGTTTGAAGTCTGAAGTCAGCGGACGATAACAAATTTTATGTATTTTTGAAGGTGTAGAAACATATGCGCATGTATGGTAATTTTTTGTTGCTTAGATGGATGGACGAGTTCACAGCCCACATGGTGTTAAGTGGTTACTGGAGCCCATAGACATCTACAACGTAAAAGCGCCATCCACCTTGAGATATAAGTTCGAAGGTCTCAAGTATAGTTACAACGGCTGCTCCATCCTTCAAACCGAAACGCATTACTATTTCACAGCAGAAAGAGGCAGGGTACCTACCCGCGCGGACTCACAAGAGGTCCTACCACCAGTGATAGTATCGCCACCAGTGATAATATAAATATAATAAAATCTATGTCTTCATTCGGGGAGGAATAGTTAGGGTGGGTAAGTAAAAACACCAGACGTTTCGTTTTTAAAACATGGCCGATTTGGCTCGATGTTATTCAAAGTGTTTAAGGCATTAATTAAATCTTCTATCTTCTTCTTCTATATATATAAAAATGAATTGCTGTTCGTTAGTCTCGCTAAAACTCGAGAACGGCTGGACCGATTTGGCTAATTATTTATCGATTTAGCTAAAGATAAATATGAAAATGCTCAGAATTAAATAAAAATAACAATTTTGCTTTCCCCTTGATGTGTGCCCCCGTTGGACGGATTCCTTTTGTTTGTTTTAATTTTATTTTATACAAAAGTTTAGGTCTTCTATTTCTCGATTGAGGCACTACGAAGTCTGCCGGGTCAGCAAGTCGTGTAATAATCGTGATAAATTTCAGTAATTTGCACGATATATGGACTGGTGGCGGAGATAGGAGTGGGAGTGGAGAAGTCGGTGCGCATGTCCTCGCGCATGTCGCAAGTGGTGTCCGCGTGTGACATCCTCGTGGTGGCGGTGACCGCGGGGGTCGGGGTGTACGGCGCGCCGGCTCGCATGAGGACCATGCTCTCCTATATGGAAAACATAGTTGCGGTGAGACCACATCTACAGACTTCGCGGCGGGTCGCGATTCCGATCCGGTAGTAGATTCATTCGCGAAGCAGCTGCTCTTGAGTCGTTAGGTCTCCTTCGGAGGCGCTCGGGCAGATGTTACCTTTAATCCCAACCCTCCTGGCTGAGCCCTTGCTCGCCCACCTAGCCTGGTCAAACTGGAAAAGCCTTCGGACCACCAGTAATACTTCAATCATAAAAAAAAGGACGAAGCGGTTTATTTCTTCTTATTTTGTTTTAATATTCTATGTTTTTCCAAACACCACGTTAATAAATGTTAGAATTGTTTGTCATTTAGTTGGCGATTGACTTTCCAAATTTTCATATGCTCGACCATTTTTATTTAATTTAAAATTACCTTACTGTAATTTTTAAATCGTTAATAGTATCCGATCGAGACCTTAATGGTGTTTAAATTTAGGCAGTATATAAACATCATGTTAACTGAGCATAGCTCGGTAAGATTACTAGTAAGATATTTCCTGGTGGTAGGACCTCTTGTGAGTCACGGGTAGGTACTACTACTCTGCCTATTTCTGCCGCAAAGCAGTAATACGTTTCGGTTTGAAGGGTGGGGCAGCCGTTGTAACCATTACCTTAGAGCTTATATCTCAAGGTGGGTGGCGCATTTACGTTGTAGATGTCTATGGGCTCCAGCAACCACTTAACACCAGGTAGGCTGCGAGCTCGTCCACCCATCTAATGTTAGTTCATAATATGTTCAAATGTTAAGTTTGATATCTCGCAGGTAGACCGTGAGCTCGGCAGACATCACTCGGCTGCAACTGAACGAAAGCTGTGCGCTCTGCTACTCCTCATCCTGTTATCCTTCACGATTCTGCTCGTCGATGACTTTTGTTTCTACGCGATGCAGGCCGGCAAGACGGGCAGGCAATGTATGCTAAATATGTCTCGGTTTGAAGGGTGCGGCAGCCGTTGTAACTATACTTGAGACCTTAGAACTTATATCTCGAGGTGGGTGGCGCATTTACGTTGTGGATGTCTATGGGCCCCAGTAATCACTTAACACCAGGTGGGTTGCGTGCTCGTCCATCCAACTAAGCTATAAAAAAATATATGCACGATTAATCGTAGCGTTACGGCAATTCGAAATATGCTATCGATATAAAATATTATAATTTGTGAGAAATGAAAGATCTTTTTTTTTTATTGCCCTTGTAGGCAGACGAGCATACGGCCTACCTGATGGTGAGTGGTTACCGTCGCCCATGGATTTCAGCAATGCTAGGTGCAGAGCCAAGCCGCTGCCTACCGCTAAATACTCTCCACAAGCCTCGTTTGAAGAAGGACATGTCATAGCGCTCGGGAAACACCGTGGAGGGGAGCTCATTCCATAACCGGACAGTACGTGGCAAAAAAGACCTCTGGAAGCGCACTGTGGATGATCGCAGTGGCTCCAGGTAGTATGGATGAACTCTACTCCGTTGGCGGGCGGTGCGACGTAAAAGTCTAGAAATTTTTTTTCATCGAAAAATAGACAAAGGGTCCCAAAATATTCAATTTTCTACAAACTAAGCTTTAGGCTTCTGTGATACGTAAAGTTTAAAGTATTCGAAATGTCAGAAATCATGTAATGAGAGATAAACACGCCATTTTCAGCCGTAAAACTAAATTTAATTATTTCTAGGACTTGCAAACACCTAAGAAAATACAATTTGTTTTTACTGTAATTTGTCCTATTTATTATTGTCCATGGGTTTCCAGAAGGAATTTTTCCTGCTCAACTATTATAATAATATATCCATCTATTATTTAATATGAGTTTTAAATTTTCATGGCTATATTTTGTAGCGGCCTCTATTGTCGAATAGATAAAGCCGTACCGATTTTGTCGAAAGTTAAGTCTAAAGGATAAATGTTCATGTCTTCAACCTGAATTTTTTTTTGTTCAAAATTTACAATTAGAATATTATTACAATATATTTCGTATACATTTATTAATTTAGTTGACAAAACTCTAAAGTTATGTTTCTGACGATAGATGGCGTTGTAAATCCTACAAATAACATTGTGCGAAATAATTAGTAATGTTTTTCTGATTTAAGCAAAAAATATATAAATTTAATACGATTTACAGGGGAAATTGTCACAAACTACGCTGGTTTCTACTTCCTGTGGTACATTGTGATGGTCTTAGAACTACAGTTTGCGTTTACAGCGCTGTCACTGCGCGCCCGACTTAAATTATTTAATGAAGCGCTTAACGTTACCGCTTCGCAAGTCTGCAAGCCTGGTAAGTTGAGTTTGAAACATTAGAAAATTGTACACGGTCTAGCTCTGATTTAATATAGCGGTCCCGCAGTAGTCGAAATTCGACTAAAATTAATTGAAATTATAAGTTTGAACATTATTATGGTCCTATTGTTACAGATTTCGCCAAGACTACACTATAGACAAATACTCGTAATATTAAAGATATAACCCATTCTCAATTTGACTACTACTTTAAGCAATAACAAAAGTTTGACAATAAACAAAGAGTATATGTATGTGTGTTAAATACATGGTAGTGTGTGTAATGTTTTCTTTATTGATTTAATGTATCTTTTATGCATTAAAAAATATTAGCATTGTGCACTTATTCTCTAAAAACTCTATAAGTGTGGAAAATTTCATACTCCTCCGTCCGCGAAATTTTCGTAAAAAGCATACAAAGTTTTTTCTTCACGTATTAATATATAGATAATCGACGGGAAAATGAAACCAAGCCACTGAACGTAACTTCTCGAGCTCTTCAATAAGTCCATTGAAAATGCCTCAGTAAATTACTACCATTATTTTACTGAGACTATTTCATTCTATATCATCTCTTATTTAATTTCATTTCAATTGATTACAGTCGCAAATTAATCAACTTCATCTCACTTCGCTTCATTCATTCTTCTTCTTAATACAAAAGAATATAAGAAGAAAATATAAGACTTGGCTCAAAGATCTCGCTGCCAATTCAAGAAATTAAAAAAAAAAACCACAAAATTTTAAGCCACATATGCGGCGTGCTTAGATTTAGCGTAAAGTAAAAAACAATTACAATTATTCGATCTTAAGTGACACAAACCAATAATAAACCAATCTATGTATATAGCGTGGGGCAATCGGCAAATGAAACGAAGACCAGTGTGCTTAGTGCGAGTTTTTTAACGTTCTCGATAGCGTAAAAGTTAACTCATATTTGTATGGAATGGGATCGTTTGCGTACGTTTGCCGCTAGGGGCGCTGTTCCAATTGCATACAAAATTGGCTTAACTTTTACGCTATCGAGAGCGTTAAGAAACACAGAATAACTGATGTAAATAATTGGACCAGCATATTCCTATATCTCCAGCAGTGGACGATTGTGGGCTGACAATCATCATACAAAAATTTAATGTCTAATGTGCCACAAAAACAGTAATTCAGCAATCAATTTTAATTACATTAATCTCTTATTGACATCTTCTTTTTAAAGTGTTTTATCATTGGGAATGTTTGGTACATTCCCAATTTTTATCAGATTTAAAAAGTGTACGAATTGATCTAATATCAAATTTAATTTCCGACATGTTTCAGTGAAGAAACCTAAGAACTCGCAACTAAGTGTATACGCGACGAGCGTCAGGCCAGTTAGCTGTAAGCGGGAAAACGTTATTGTTGAAACAATACGAGTGCGGGACAAAGATGATGCTTTTGTGATGATGAAAACTGGTAAATAGTATTTGTCTTTTTCGATGTATTCGATTGTTTTTTTTTTATTGCTTAGATGGGTGGACGAGCTCACAGCCCACCTGTTGTTAAATGGTACCCGCCCGCGGGATTCGAACACCGTTGCGTCGCTAGATACGAATGCACCGGACGTCTTATCCTTTAGGCCACGATGACTTCAAATATAGCCTACGTTGACGCGTATACAGATTGGTCACTCACACACTCGGTAGGCAGCGGCTTGGCTCTGCCCCTGGCATTGCTGAAGTCCATGGGCGACGGTAACCACTCACCATCAGGTGGGCCGTATGTTCGTCTGCCTACAAGGGCAATAAAAAAAAATAAAAAAAAACAAATAAGGGCGGCGCGCAGTCATACTTTGCAACAACTATAGTTTAATTTGTACAGCTGATGGTGTCCCTTGTCTACAAGTTCCGCCATGCGAGGCGGTGGGGCGACTCTCACGGATGCGATGCACACTCTGCGAGGTGACGCGTCACATCGCCGACGGGTACGGCCTGCCGCTGGTCATCATTCTAATGTCGACTCTACTGCACCTTATCGTCACACCCTATTTCCTTATTATGGAGATAAGTAAGTAAATGCTCATCCGAAAGCAAATCAAGTTATCAATAGACACAATGTTATTTAATGGATTTTTATCACGATTGTCCCGATATTTGGGCGTGTCGCAAGAGCCATGATAATGGATAGACTGAACACTGCGGACGCTAGGAACATACAAATCAGATCCGTGTGCTTAGTGTGAGTTTTTTAACGTTCTCGATAGCGTAAGAGTTAGCTCAGATTTGTATGGAGTTCGAGCGTTTGCCGCTAGGGGCGCTGTTCCAACTGCATACAAATTCGAAACTCGCCCTGAGCACACAGAAATCGGGCACAGTAGAGAAGTTTTCGTGGTCAACCCTACAACCGAACTCCCGGCGCCACCCCTAGGACACCCGACCGACGGATCGTCAAGGTCGTCGTATCGATGACTCTGCGTCGCCGTCTCGCTATACGAGACAAGCCGCTCCAGGTGGTGCTCCAGGTGTTCCGAATTACCCCACCAGACTAGAACTAGCCTGCTTGATCTGAATGCGATATACCGCCAACTGATTACACAGTAGATAGTGATGGCCGCAGTTTCCCTCCGAGATCGAATCAGGAATGACGAGATTCGCAGAAGAAGCTTGATAACAGATTAGAAAGATTGCGAGGTAGAACTGGCAGTAGGCAGGATATATTGCTCTTAGAACAGATGGGAGCTTGAATCAAAAAGTTCTTGTTTGATTGACGACCGCGCACCAAAAACAATTAAAACAATTCAAAACTGTTCAGTACGATATTTGGTTTAATAGTACTCGACGAGCTGTGGTGATATTACATACTCGATCCAGTGGACCGAATGGTAAACAGCCGACGTCGCCCTAAGCACGTTATTACGGATCCTCCCGATCCATTAACGGTGCTTTTAGGTACTACTGGTCACCGTCCTCGTCGAACCTGTCGCTTACGACGAAGGGCTTGACGAGTAAACTAACCCATAGACACAGTCCACTGAGTTTCTCGCCGGATCTTCACAGTGGGTCGCGTTTCCGATCCGGTGGTAGATTCTGCGAAGCACTGCTCTTGCTAGGGCCATTGTTAGCCACACTCCCGGTTTGAGCCCCGTGAGCTCACCTACAAGTCAAGGAGAAGCTGAAATAGCCTCTCAAGGCTATCAGCATAGGTAGGAAAAAAAAGGTGATATTAAAATCGGTTTTTCTCCAAAACGTTAATTAGAAACAAAACGTGAAAAGCAATGAGATATCAGTGACTATGGTAATTGTTTTAGTTATTATAAATTTCAGACTTACATAGGATCGTAACGTATTAAATAATTATATGAGAAGCGATTGAAAGATATCTCTCGTAAAGACAGCGTCATATTGCTTTTTAGCGTCTTATATATCGTCTTACTGGTGTTTTGTGAGACCGCACAGATACCGCGTTCCATACCTATTTCTGCCTTGAAGCAGTACTGCGTTTCGGTTTAAAAAGTGGGTCAGCCTACTGTAAAAACGGAGACTTAGAACTCATGGTTCAACCATTTATGTTCTTGATGTCTTTGGGCTCCGATAATCACCTAACATCAAATGAGCCGTTAGCTCCTCCACCGATGAAGCAACAATAAAAAAATGTGATCACTTTACTGCTCAATTGATTATTAACCTTGACAACTACACCAATAAGTTCAAATTCCTATAATGATTTTAGCTATTTTGGTGAATTTTAAGTGAAATTTTAATCGTAATCTTTGCAGTCGTGTCAACGCACAGACTGCACTTCCTCGTCCTTCAGTTCCTGTGGTGCACAACACACTTGATAAGGATGCTGGTCGTCGTGGAGCCTTGTCATTACACAATGAGAGAGGTACCTGATGAATTAATTGGGTTGTAGCGTGCAACACTGGCACATTAATAGTTAACACGTTTCTGGTGGTAGGACCTCTTGTGAGTCCGCACGGGTAGGTACCACCACCCCGCCTATTTCTGCCGTGAAGCAGTAATGCCTTTCGGTTTCAAGGGTGGGGCAGCCGTTGTAATTATACTGAGACCTTAGAGCTTTTGTCTCAAGGTGAGTGGCGCATTTACGTTGTAGATGTCTATGGGCTCCAGTAATCACTTAACACTAGGTGGGCTGTGAGCTCGTCCACCCATCTAAGCAATAAAAAAAAGCACCGAGTCGCACTCGGGCGTCATCGGGCGTCCTCAGGCGTCCTCGGGCGTCTTCGGGTGCAATCGGAATTCACGAATGCGCAGGTGTCACACTAGATGTGAGTCGACAAGCTTCGCACGCCGACTTAATATTAAAAATAATCTTCGGAATATAATATAATTACCATTTCCTTGTGCCTAGCTTCTTTTTCTACGTTTCTTATTCATATTATAAATATACTGTAACCAAACATTATAAGTGTTTATAAAATAGTGTGATTGAGCTACTTATTTCTGCGTGCGAAATTTCCATTAAAGTAGTAGTAAATAACAAACCACGGAGTTAAATTAAACTTTCTTTTATACTGGATGCAGATTTGAGTCCAAATGTGTAGACCCATTTAGCCCGTTAAATCTGGAAGTCAGATTTCGAAGCACTAGTACCAGACGAACTTCATACGAATGAGAAAATCTTAATGTTTTTGTAAATTTTTTAGGGAAAACGAACAGAAGACATAGTGTGCCGACTCATGACCTTAGCGCCGCATGGTGGAGTTTTATCATCCAGATTAGAGGTGTTATCTCGCCTGCTGATGTTGCAGAATATCTCCTACTCACCTCTGGGCATGTGCACGTTGGACAGGCCTCTAATGGTGACTGTAAGTTCTATCGGTTATTGACCATACATACTTAATCCTGCAACAAATGCTGTTACAAGGAAAACACCGCTTTTCTTCATTAGATGAAATATTTCTTGCCTCCCGCTGGGCTTAATAAAAACATTTATGCATTTCGGTTGATTATCGATCGCTACTAGTACCTCCAACATGGGAAATATCGTTATTGTCAATCTTATGGAACCTTTTAGAGGAATTATCATGACATTCAGAGCGAGCCGTATGCTTGAGCCGGATCCAGCTTTATATCTTAGCGTCATCTGTCTTATATGACCATTCTTCATTGGAGCACGATGCTGTTACTTATCTGTACCCTAATGGCTAATTGATAAGCTTTTCTAGACTCTTCTAGCTCGTTAGTAAAGTAAATGTATCAGCGTCTTCTCCAACCAATCTATATTACCAATCTATATATTTTCAAACTCAAGTGCCCTAAATACGAGTTGGAAATCTAAAACGATCTTTTGAAATACGCGACATGTTTCTGAGTGCTATATCCATTTCCTCGGACAAAATCTTTTGCATCACACACACTATTATTTAACCCTTCTTACAGCGAGCTTCACGTTATTTTTATTATTGCTTAGATGGGTGGACGAATCCACGGCCGGTGTCAAGTGGTTACCGGGGCCCATGGACAGCTACAACGTAGATAACACCATCCACCTTGAGTTCTAAGTCTTAGTTTTTACAGTACAACGGCTGCCCCACCCTTTAAACCGTAAGGCATTACTGCTTCACGGCCGAAATAGGGTGATGGTACCAACCCGTGCGGACTCGCAAAACATTCTTACTACTAGTAATTTAAACGAGGCCCCGGTATTTCTGTGCTTAAGATTAATGTGTGTAATGTAGATAGCCGTGAAAGTTGTAAACAATTCGATACGAGTATTATCTTTTGCATCGCAACACAATTTCTTCGGATATATTCCTAATTTTTTTTTTTTTCTTTTTTTTTTATTGCTGAGATGGGTGGACGAGCTCACAACCCTCCTGATATTAAGTGGTTACTGGAGCCCATAGACATTTACAACGTAAATGCGTCACCCACCTTGAGATATAAGTTCTAAGGTACAACGGCTGCTTCACCCTTCAAACCGAAACGCATTACTGCTTCACGGCAGAAATAGGCGGGGCGGTAGTACCCTACCCGTGCGGACTCACAAGAGGTCCTACCACCAGTAATTACGAAAATTATGATTTTGCGGGTTTGATTTTTATTACACGATGTTATTCCTTCATCGTGGAAGTCAATCGTGAACTTTTGTTAAGTACGTATTTCATTAGAAAAATTGGTACCCGCCTGCGGGATTCGAACACCGGTGCATCGCTAGATCCGAATGCACCGGACCTCTTATCCTTTAGGCCACGACGACTTCAAAGGTGAATTGGTGGTCGATCTCACAGCCCACCAGTTACTGGAGCCCATAGACATCTACAAAGTAAACGCGCCACCCACGTTGAGATATAAGCTCTAAGGTCTCAAGTATAGTTACATTTTATTACATAAATTGTTTTGAACGGATTTTAGTCCGAATACTAAGTGGATGGTCAGATCTTCCTCTGTGACAAACAGAAGACGTATCACTATACTTGTCAATAGCGCGCCACGTAAGCAATCGACTGGTATCAAGCGAATATAGTGCTCCATTATTGCATTTAGCTCCAGAACTGCTTTGTGAAATGCTATTAAGAGTATAGGAATTCGATTCTCCAACTCACTCCATTCTAATATCACAACATTATGTAACAGATATTGGCGCGAAAATGCGGAAATCCAATAAATATTCGTATGACAATCACAGGCTCCAAATTCAAATGTATTTTTTTTTGTAGTATCTTTTGGCCAGACTGTATGAATTGTATACACATAAATTGTAAAAAGTAACACAATTTCTGGGTTTATTTTTGTAATACTTTTTCCAGACTTTACTTAATTAAATAAACATTAATAATATATATCCAATATCTAATAACACCTACTTTGACCATAATTAATTAGTTTTACAACATACAACATTAGACAACAAATTTTTGGTACTAGGCTATCATAAAGTCAAACAGGTTAGTCGCTAACAAATCTTGCACTAAATAGAGTCACAACTGACATATTTCAATGTTTTTTTACAGGTACTTGGAGCGGTCACCACTTATTTAGTTATACTCATTCAATTCCAGCGATATGATAGTTAATAAAGTGATAAATAAAATTTTTTTTAGTAGGCACATATTTTAAGTATCATTTATTAAACTTTGTGTATTCCTTCTCAAAAACCCTTAGCACCACGCGGGTTGCTATGCCACGTCAAATATTTTCCAATTAACTTTTAATTAAACACAAATAAGGTTTGAAACTCAAAATTAGTGGCGCAATACCAGAGCCGCATAAGTCGCAAAGAGGTTTTAAATTTGCATTCGAATCGGTAATGAACATAAATTAGTTGGAAGTTGAAAACAAAGAGGTTGCTCCTGACGCCAGCGAAACTTAACGGCATTAGAACGATGGAAGTTTAATTCTGGTGACATACGGACACTGAGTTCATCGGAATACAGCCAGTAAGTTAAAATCTAGCTTAGCGGTAGGCAGCGGCTTGGCTCTGCCCCTGGCATTGCTGAAGTCCATGGGCGACGGTAACCACTCACCATCAGGTGGGTGTATGCTCGTCTGCCTACAAGGGCAATAAAAAAAAATAAAAAAAATCGTTAGTTTATTTTGAATGGTGAGCATTGGTGTTTCTGATCTAATTGCTAACCCATTGACATCTATTACTATTACTGGTGGTAGGACCTCTTGTAAGTCCGCACGGGTAGGTACCACCACCATGCCTATTTCTGCCGTGAAGCAGTAATGTGTTTCGGTTTGAAGGGTGGGGTAGCCGTTGTTACTATACTTGAGATCTTAGAACTTATATCTCAAGGTGGGTGGCGCACCGCTTAACATCAGGTGGGCTGTAGGCTCGTCCACCCATCTAAGCAAAAAAAAAAATCTCCTGCATTTTTTGCAGTGAGTAGGGAAATGTTCGCGAAAATGGAAGCAGGTAGTGATTCGTCAAATGATACTATTTTTATTCGTAGCTATTAAACGAATTTTTGACCTATAAAGCATTTTTATAAATTTTCATACAATGTTCAATGTCCGGTGATAAATATTATACCTCCTCCTCCTCCTTGCGTCGGTTTCCTCATTACTGAGGGTCGTGGTCATGGCCTTGAAACAGTTTGTTTTTTTATAATGCACCGCAATTTTTTCCTATCTGCAGCTGAGTGCAGAGCATCGTGCACTGTGGTATCAAGGGCTGTACGAATCTGGTCCGTCCAACCGGTCGGGTTCCTGCCTCTTGGTCGCTTGCCCTCGACCTTTTCAGTGACCACCAATTTCTTCAAGTTGTCACTGTCTTGCAATGTGGCTAACATATTCAAGAATCCCTCGCAGGCAAATGGTGGAGAGTCTAGTCCGGATCTTGAGCTGAGCTAGGATGGATATATTGGTGCGGCGTGCGGTCCAGGGAATACCCAACCAACATCCTCCTCCAGCACCACATTTCGAAGGCATTAATTCGATTGCGGTTAGCTTTCTTTATAGCCCATGTCTCTGCTCCATATATGAATATTGAAAACACTAGTGTGCGGACTAGGTTCCATATTTTGTCCAGCTGAGACATGGCACCTTATATCGACCTTTAAAAAGAGAAGATCGGCTAATTTTGGCTTCGTAGAGCGCTATCTCTGTCGCACACTACCTACGTCACACTCAGTGCGGTTCTAGTATGCCGTCCTAATAGGTACCAGACTGTTTCGTGCAACAGAGATAGCGCTCTTCGAAAAGCCGGAATTAGCCGATTGTCTGTTTCACAAAGTCGATGTGCAATATTTATTGTCGGGCACTGTAAGGGGATTCAGACAAATAATCGTGAGTTCAATAACCCATTTATGCATTACATAATAATTAACAAAACACGACCTGTATCGTAAATAATACAAACGTGTCGTCCGTGTGTAATAAAGTTCGAATGCAACTTAACTCCGCTGCGATAAAGTTTCAGATTATATAGATATCTTTGACTAAAATACCTATAAATTTTCCACTTTAGTGGTTTATAATAGTAGAAATTAGTGGAATATCCATTATTTTTTCGAAATATTTTCGACTTGAAGAGATTTCAATTAAATAAACTCCTCCCACCACAGTGTTTTTTTGCAACGTTTATAAGATGGTTGTATTTTTGAGCTTGAAAATAATTCTGGTGGTAGTTTGTATTCCTTCAGTGACTGACGGTCACGTAGGTCTAAAATCCCTTAAAAAATTACCTCAAGTTAGTTTTACGTGAATAGTACCAGGCTACCATGAAGAATAAGAAGCAAAAACAATTTTTTTTGATCGTCCTGTACCAAAAATAGCTTGTTAGTATTTGCCACATTTTTCATAATTTCTTGTCTTTCTTTTCGTTTTGAATTCCGTAATTAACCTTACTTGTATAATTTACGCATTTTTTATTTATTTTTTAGAATTGCGTAAACAAATATATCGCGTTCATCTCTAAATATTCCAAGCCCACCAAGAGACCTTATGCAATTATGATCTCGCACCTTTTGCATAATATGGTTTTATTGTAGTTAAATCCCAGATAGAGGTTAAAATGTTCAGTTAAGTCGTCGTGGCCTAAAGGATAAGACGTCTGGTGCATTCATATCTAGCGAGAGATGCAACGGTGTTCGAATCCCAGGCGGGTACTAATTTTTCTAACGAAATACGTTTTTTTTTTAATTGCTTAAATGGGTGGACGAGCTCACAGCCCACCTGGTGTTAATTGGTTACTGGAGCCCATAGACATCTACAACGAAATATTCTTAAATTGTTCATCTAAAACCAAGTTCCCGTGTAATAATGCATTGCGCTATTTATCATGAAAGTTGACGACAAAAGGGGTAGCAGCATATGAGGGTGTTGCATGCAAAGTCACAATCTCGGCTGTAGAAGTAACGCTCCTACGCTCTTCATGTAAAACCGGGGTTGTCAGATGAGATTTCTCTAATTTGCCCACATCGAAACCTCACTTTGCTTTATGGACTAAAATTTAAACACCAAATAAATATTACAACTACTTCTTATTACAGATACAGTGCAATAAACAATTTGCTAAAAACCTTATTAAAGTCTTCAATATTTTACACTATAATGGCGAAACAAGTTAATCAAAAAGCGCTTTAATATGATTAAGTATCTATGATCTGATTAAAAAACTGACCTAAATACAGTTTTTTATATTCAAAATTTTGCATATTTTTTTAAGTAATCACCAACAAAGATCACTTTTCAGTTACATTTAACTCAAAGGTTGAAATACATGTCACCCCCCCCAAAAATTCATTTTTCCCACGAAATAGTGAAAACGTTATCGACCTGGCAATATCGTGTAAAAAGGGTTAGGGTTGTCGATTTTAACGTATCGATGTCTTTAATTCTAAAACGGGCTATAATTGTTACATGACATTATTCAGAAGGTCATTTAAAGATTACTTACTTATACCAGAAAGGAACATAAATTGTATATTTAAGTAGACAACATAATATGTAATCTAGATATTAATACGTGAAGCAAAAACTTTGTATCCCTTTTTACGAAAATTGCGCGGACGGAGGAGTATGAAATTTTCCACACTTATAGAGAATATAGAGAAGAAGTGCACAATGCTAATATTTTTTTTAAATAATGCATAAAAGATACATTAAATCAATAAAGAAAACATTACACACACTACATACCATGTATTTGACGCACACACGCATGCATACTATTTATTGTCAAACTTTTGTTCTTGACGTCTGTTGTCAAATTGAGAATACATTAAATATTGTTTGTCTTTGTTAAAATTTTATTATAGTGTGGTCTTGGCGAAATTTGTGATTATAGAAGAAAAAATACAATCATAATAGTGTACAAACTTACAATTCCAATTAATTATAGTCGAATTTCGACTACTGCGGGACCTCTAGTACAATGTAAAACTGTTACCAGAGTCTGTAGTACCACAAGAGGAATTACGTCCTTTTGAACATAACAACGAAGTCTTCAATTGAATTAAGACATACCCGTTCACATCGGGGTCTAAATTAATAAAGCAGTTAATGTTGTACTGCCAAAGATCACTCTATGATTTGTGGGTACCATATTTTATGTTCCGAGGGTCGTTTCATTAGAAAGTGCTTAACATGATCCCAACATCTTGCATCGCCCGTCACTGGAATATTCAGATCATCCTTATTATAGAGATATTTTTTATCATATAACATCCGACTTTAAAAGTGTTTTCCGAGCATTATGACATGATGATGAATCCTTGAAATGAAAATACGAGAAGAAGAAGAAGACAGGTCCTTTTTTAAATGTAGTTTGTCAATATTCAGCGGTAAGCTTGGCTGCATCTCTAGTAATGCTGCGAACCATGACCGATGACCACTCGTCATCAAACGGGTAAAATCTACAAATATAAATAAAAAAAACACGTGTGGCACTCGGGGACTGCCGCGGTAAAGCTATTGCATAGTATTTTTTATCAACTTATGCAATTATAATTCGACAATAATAATTTAATATTAAAACAATGATAATATAAAATCACGCTATATTTATAAACATTAAGAAAAGCAAAACGTTAACTGTCCCCTTCACACTCATAAGCTAGACCGCGCGAGAGAGAGATGGGCAGACTTTTCATAAAAAGACTTTCATAAAAAGTCTGCCCATATCACTCTCGCACTGCATGCGCAACGTCACGCCGCGTGCTTATTCACAAACACTACATAAGTGCAACGTGTGAATGTGTTGAACGCGAGCTACATGGTAGGCGGAGTGGGGGTGTTAGGTTTTATTTTAGTTACGAAATTTCTTGATTCGGTCTCCGCGCTTAAAGTCCGCGATAAAAGCTATGCAATAGCTTAAAAAACCTAATCTCAGCCTAAATCTAACAAAATATATAATAACCAGTGTTTCGTACTGAAACAGATTTTTCGTGTTTCTATATTTTTATTAATATCGAGTATTAGGCAATACATCTTCAAGACAACACAAATCTTAGCCTAGGTGCAGTAAGGTTCGATCTTGCCTGTAGACGGCCGACTAGCCAACCCGAAGCTTGCTGAGCAACCCCTCCAAGCCTACGGGCAGAGATCGCCGTCGTATAGTAACTTAGCA